AGTGTGTGTGTGTGTGTGTGTGTGTGTGTGTGTGTGTGTGTGTGTGTGTGTGTGTGTGTGTGTGTGTGTACGTGTATACAAAATATCTAATCTTAAAAAATTTGAAAATTTTTATAAAAAATATATATATATATATATTTACCACATATTGCATTCAACGTATGATGACTGATAAGGGATGTTAAATCATCGATAGTTGAGCCTTTAATATTTTTCAAAGACTGTGTTATATTATTTCCTTCTTCAATTAACACTTCGACGAATTGTTTCAATATATTAAAATGAAACGTGGGTGTTAGTATTTTTCGTCTTTTATGCCATTTTGTTCCTATAATAACATACACATATGTTTGCTAATTCGTAATATTGTTTCGTTATTCACAATAGATTTTATCAATCAATCAGCGTCAACTTATATTTATTCATAAAATATAATATTATATACATATACTCGGTGATGGGTGGAGCGCGCGCGGCGAGGGGAAGGATAATAGCCGCCGCTCACTTTTCCCATTCGTCCTACAGGTATATCTATTAGAAACAAAACTTCTTTCTACGATACCTTCACTAGTTAATAGTCCAGTTCCTAACCAAGAATGTAAAAGTCGATATAAAAAACCTTTTGCAATATGCTGTTTTGTATTGCTTAATATTTTCTAAAACAAGAAAATAAAAAAAACAGATGAAACAAAATAATATTTTAAATTATATTTTAATAAATAATGAAATATAGAAAATGGAATATATAACGTACAAAAGTTTGCAGATACATTGTACCTAATCACTATAAAAATCACAGTAAAAAATATTTTGTATTTGTGTTAAAATTAATTTTTGTTAAAATTTTTGTGTTGAATTTCTAACGTGATCAAGTGTTAATTTAACATAACGTGATTGTATTATTTAAAAATTTTGTTAAATTGATATTCAACATTTCTTAACGTTTATATAATAATTTATAGGTAAGTGAATAAATAACATAAAAATAATGTAGTTTTAAAATATAAATTTTAAGGTAAATGAAGAAAACATATGTGTTAATTTAATGTATGATAAATATTAATTTTACTGGAGAAATTAATTTACTGGGTTCTGTGCCATTAATTATACATTTTACATGTAAAACTGTATAGATATGATTTGTGTTATTTTCTCTCTGTAGCAGTTATAATTTATTAAATGAACATATTTCAGATATTAAATATTACATGTCGTTTTTTTCATTTCCTATCTTTGTGTTGATTTTACATTTTGATTTAATCAATATATTGAACAATTCTTATAAAACAATTTTTATAATAAATAAAAATAACATCCTGTTTCAGTTACATTTAACATTATAAATGATAAGTTACACATTAAACAGTTTAACATTAAATTTGCTTACCAAATTATGTCAAAGCTTTACGTTTCTTGTATTAATTTATTATACAATATTTGACTCTCTAATATATTCGTCTTATGTAAAATTGACATAAAAATTTGGACCGTTTGGGACATGCGAAATATGTTATATTTAACACAAAAATTTTTATAGTGTATGAGTAATTATTATGAATTATTTAAAAAAACTAACTCTTATTAATACTCTCATTAATAATTTAATAATTGACATTAAATAATTTACACTATGCTATGATTAGATATTTATAAAAAATATTATTAAAATATCATATAAATAATAAAATAATAAATTAATAAAATAAATAAATAATGATAAATGATTGACTTATATTCTTTGGTTTTTACCTCTAAATCATGTGGATGACAAATACTGACAAGAACCATTCCAAAGTGATAAGGACTAAGCCAAAACTTCCAAATTGGATAATAATATTTAGAATATACACGTAAAAATTTCCAAAGATCTTCTGAATAATAAAAAACATAAAATTTAGTAATAAATGACATAAATTTAATATTTTGATGTATGTATCAATAAAATTATTTATGCATGCATTATTAATAAAATATAAATTTGATTTTGTTATTTAATTTATTGACGTTTTTATTTAGTAGAACTGATTTATTTCAATGTATTATGGAACTATTGAAGAATAAAAGACAAAATCTTTTCTATTTCTGCGCTCTGATCATAATATAAATTCTTTTTTGTATTCAAATATATTATTTACAAATATATTATTAATATATATAAAATTAAAATTAAACTAAATAAATATTGTTATGTAAATATAAAAGTAGACGTAACATATACATTTTTGCAATTTATTTTTAACCAAACACTATACACAATTGAAATGTTATGCTATTTATTTCTTTGTTATTAATTTTGTTAATAAATATTTGGGATAAATCAAATTATTAGAATAAATTTAAGAGATTTTACTTGCCTTGCGAAGCTCTCCAGAACATTAAACCATGGCCAAGCAACGAAATCGACGGTATACTCGGTATATTGTTAATAAGTCGCACGAATCTTCCGTTATAAAGGATATAGTAATATAATAATATAAGAAAAAAGATACACAATAATAGTAAAATAATAATCATGATCAATGATTTTAAAGTATAAATTTCTCTTCAATTTTGCTTTAGTTCTTCTTTTATTATGAATATTAATAATTCATAATATTATATAATATATGCTGTAATAAAAAATAAAAAAATTATATCTTATTAGCATATCAATGCAAAT